CATATTGCGCGTCGCAAGGCGAGCGATAAATCCCGCGGGCGGGGCCGTGGGAGATCCGCAAATTGCCGTAATAATTCAGCGTGCGTTTGGCTATGATCCGCGATCTCGCGCGGCTTCCGTGATCACGCCCGATCGCGGCATGCACGGGACTTACGTAAGCGGATTGGTCGGAAAATAGATTGCAGTCGACCGGCACACTGAGCAAAGGTATACACAGCTCGCAGCACCCGCATCCCGAAAACGCATCCGCGTTTCACGTAACGCGCGTGAAAGCGCGGCGGCAAAGTTCTGCCTTACGGGAGCGACTATGCGCGACGAAAATAACCACTTCCGGAATCTGGAATATGCGGAGACGTTTCATTCGGCTGAAACGCTTTTGTAGTCCGCCGCGCGCGGTGGAAACGTTTCGGGTCAGCCGGAGCGGAGATCGATACGCTCGGAATCGCGACCTTTTCCCACTAATCGGTCAATTTGTCTCGTCTTAAGCTTGACTTTCGTCAGGAGTGGAGAACGATGCTTTACTTAAATAATTGACACATAACGATGACGGATATATGAAGCAAAAACAACGATTCGACGAATTCTTGTCTGTCGCCGCTCGCACGAGTAGCGACGCCGAGATCAGCCTTTAAAATTGCCTCTTCACAGGATTAGTCAGCTGAACACTGTATCGGGATAAGTGGTCCGCAAGAAATTCCATAAAACGAAGTGGAGGAGGTCCGACAGTTGGCGGGAAAGTCTCGACGTTATCGCCGGCTCGTCGATGACACGTCGAGGAGGCCGAAGTTCGGGTCGCCGCGTCACGTGTGTGACACAATGAAAAATTAGAGGCGGCCCTCTTCCTAGAGGGTGTCGTTTATCGTTATTACCACGCGCGGACGGAATAATTCTTTCGGGCTGGTGGACACGCGAGGGCGAAACACACGCCGGCCAGCGAGCCGTCATACAAGGGGATGACTCAGGAAAAATGAGAGAGTCGAGGCTGCTCTCATATTTCAAGTCTCGCCACAGACTTGTTGGCCTTTTTGCGTCTCTGTCGACAGGCGTAACGTCCACTCGATTCGTACGGGAATCGGCAGCGCATCAGGAAAACAACGAGATTCGCGAGCGCTCGCCCGCGCCCCGCCATTCGGCGAGCCGCGACCCTAAACCTCTGCACGTGTACCGAATGCTAAATAGATCTCTTTGATCCTCAGGCTGGGACCACCACAAACGCTGTCCACGTGACGTTTGGCTGAGAAAAGAACGAAACTCGGGATTAAAAAGGTGCACTTGACACACTTGGCAATGCATTCAAAATAAGGCCCTTGCAGTCCTTCATCATTGGAAGTCACGCGGGATAATGATGTTATGCTACCCCTCGGCGAGCTCGCTCGCTCGCTAAGACCTCGCGTTTTCTCTTTCCCCGGAATGAAATTTTCCACTTAAAGCTGGGAATTTACCCGAAAACTGTCACTCGACTCTCCCAGCGGGATTTCCCTCCCGAAAAAGAGTTTCCATCGTCGACTCTGCGTGGATTTTGTATTTTCAACGTGTATATACCTACCTATCTACCTTTATCTCTCTTTCTATTTCATGTCATTTTAATCCGGTAACGACGTTTTGTTCCGATTATTGATTATGTGAACGGCAATTCACAGCGGAGAATTAAAGCTGCTGTGTCCTACATTCGCTGGAAGAGTGAATAATCATAATAATCACGATGAGTTGTAACGACAATAATCACTCGGTAGCGGAAGCTCGGCTTTAGTCTGATCGGAGAGCTTATTGCCTTAAAATTCAACAAATCATGACAGTGCTGTAATCGGCAGACTTAGCCGCGTATTATCACGACGCGTCACGCACGTGGAAACGCAAGCCAGCCAACCCCAATAATACCTCGGAACAGCCAAACATCCCCATAACTCCCCCGACACTCCCGCGCCGCCCGATCCCATCGGAGCGACATGCGTGTCTGCTTGAGACTATTTCCGGCTATCTCATGATAGCTTAAGCCCGAAATCACTTCGCCCGATATTCCTCTTATTTCGCCGAGAAGTGGGCACGGCGACGGTCTTCGGCGCGTCGTCACGGCGATCTTCATTGAAAGACGACCGAGACAAAGCCGCGACAGCCTCGAAAAACTGCCCCCTCTCCTCCACCCTTCCCTTCCGTCCGCCGCGCGTCGAACAATCGTGTATTTCGGGAAAAACGTAACCTCGGGATATTGTCTGATTCGGAATTCTACTGCTACACCTCCGCGGGAAATTATCTCATTTTTCAATGTCCGGATTTCGCGATTTCGATTGCTCGGGACAGCGCGTGTCCACCGAGAGGTTCTCATCGGGGAAATCTCTCCTCGAGGACGTCTCGTATGATTCCGCCGAGAGGTTGAACGCGCGCGCGCGCGCGCGAGCTCAGTCCCCGAAAGAATTATTTCCGCAGAACGGGGAGAGAATCTCGCCACCCTTCTTTAAAGCGCTCTCCCCTTCTCTCTCTCTCTCTCTCTCTCGCATTCTCTTCGCGATTAAGCCGCCACTCTGTTGCGAGCTAGTTTAAAAGGCTCGCGAAATCTCTCCTCGGCGCGTATCCCCCCGACGAGCATCTCGAGAATAGATCAAAATGCGCAGATCGCTGGAAATTCGCCGCTTTCCCGCCGCTCGCCCTGCCGTCCCCTCGTCCCGGGTGAAGAATTCGATAGTTGTGCGGATGCTGGGTAAACGCGCGTTCTCGTAACGCGGCCGGGAGTAAATGTTACGTGAACGGGGGAAGGCTCACCTTGAAACGATAATTACGCGACTCGTCTCGGCATGACGGTATGACGCTCTGGAATTTCTGTAAAGTTGTAAAGCCGACATACCCGACAAAGGGTGCGCGACGGAATCGCACCCCGGGATTGCGCGGCGAGCCCAATATTAGCGAGCACGATTCCCATAAACAAATAAGTCAATAACAGCGGCGAGCTCTCGGCATCTCCCGATGTTTTTTCGATTACGCGATCGCCGACGCAGCCGTCGCGCCGTGAATTTCCGCCGTGGGAAAGTTCAGGAAATCGTGACCGGTTTCTTCGCCGTTTTCTTTCTTTTTAAATAATTCGAGCCCCAAACGGATTTGAAGAGCGGAAGACACCTGCTGGAGTCACTCCTCGCCGAGACATACACAGGGTGCTAAATTTCAAACATATCAAGTAAAAAATCTCGAAAACTATGAAAGATATTAAAAAAAGCTGAAACACGTGTTCCATGATTTCGAAGGAGAAAGAGAATGGCATCATCAGTTTTTTATTTGGAGGGTCAGTTTTCAAGGTCAGTTGAAGGTCAACTTAATTTTTTAAAATAGAAATCCCAATTTTTTATTATGTCTTCCTTTTCTACCAATTAATTTTAACAACTTTTGTCTGAAACATTTTTTTATTTGCCTAATATTTTTTGAAATATTTAAGGAAAACTTGGTAACCTTTTTAATATTTAACTTACGATATCTCGCTAGCTATTCGTCAAAAGAAAAAATAGTGGAAAACTTTTTTACTTTATTCATTATCAAGAATATATTACTATAATAGTGCTCTAACTTTTGTTAACTTGTCGACTTTTGGATATTTCAAAATTATTAAATTAATAAAAGTTAGGGCACTATTATAGTAATATATTCTTGATAGTAAATAAAATAAAAAAGTTTAATACTATTTTTTCTTTTAACGAATAGCTAGCGAGATATCGTAAGTTAAATATTAAAAAAGTTACCAAATTTTCCTTAAATATTTCAAAAAATATTAGGCAAATAAAAAAATGTTTCAGACAAAAGTTGTTAAAATTAATTGGTAGAAAAAGAAGATATAATAAAAAATTGGGCTTTCTCTTTTAAAAAATTAAGTTGACCTTCAACTGACCTTGGAAATTGACCCTCCAAATAAAAAACTGATGCTGCCATTCTCTCTCCCCTTCGAAATCATGAAACACGTGTTTCAGCTTTTTTTAATATCTTTCGTAGTCTTCGCGATTTTTCACCTGTTACATTTGAAATTTAACACCCTGTATAACATTCGATATTTTCTTTTGGAATTTTTTTATTTTGGAAGAAATGCGAGTTGAAGATTTCGTGAGGTTTTATTAAAAAAGAAAAAAAAAAATTGACAGAGAATTGACAAGTCCGCATTTGTCACCGCTTGGGCGGACAGAGAGGATCAGCTTTAATTGAAAACTATTCGTGACGTGTACGGCGGGCGATTAATTAATTGACATTGAATCTCGGCTAGGCCGGTTTCCCTCTCTTTTTCTCTTGAATCCACAACTACATTCCTTCGAGTTATCCGAAACGAGCCTAAACATCCGGGAATCGCGGACCTTCGCTCGAGACTCACACAACGCGTTTACGCTTCTTCACTCAGGCTTGATACTTTACCGCGCCTACCTTATTTACGACATCCTATATTTTGCTCCGAGAGACTTTTATTACAACGTTGCGAGAAACGTCGAAGATGTATGTCTGCAATTGTGCAATTGATAGTAGCGCAGGTCAACGCCTACGCGTAGCGCAACGCCGTAAAAAGACGTTAAAAAGAAGAGAGAAGCGCCGTTAGCGCTCGGGAAAGAATCGTCGTAGAGATGTCAAGCGCAAAATCTCAGCTTGGTTTCTCGGGCTTCGGCTGCGCCATTATAGGTAAATCTCGAGCTTAAACTTGACACGGGTGAGTTCCGACGGAAATTCACCGAGGTCATGATCTCGGCGCTCCGTAGTCCCTGAGAAGAAGCTGCCACTCCGATCGCAGCCTGCATATTCCGAAATACTCCGTGCTTCGATCCGCAACCCGCGAAACTCGGGCGGGCTGCATTCTCGAAAGCTCGCGGGCATACCTCCGAGAATGAATGGATCATTGTCAATGACGCGAGACGATTTCGTGCGCGACGGGAGATTCCGGAGAAGCTCTCGGGCGAAGTCGAAAGGAGCGGAGATCGAAACGGACGCTCGAGCGCGGCTTTCCTCGCGAAGAGAAAACGTCGACTGCCAGACGTGTCACTTACTGAGCATGCGGATGACGTTCCTCTGAGCGGCCGTCTTCCCTCGGTTGCTGTCAAGGTGATTCAGGCCACCTGGCATGGGGTTCCTCTTGACGGTGGCGGTCAACAGCCTGGAGCGCCGCAGCTTGATGGCGATCAGCACGTACAGCACCGTGATGATCGTCATCGGCAGCACGAAGAACAGGATAGTCGAGATCTCGAACGCGTGCTCGATTAACGTCCACCGGGTCGAGCATCTGGCGCTGTCCGGGATGGCGGTGCCGTTGTCGACGTACTCGTAAGTGATGCCGAACTGGATCGCCTGCGGCACCGCGAGGCAGAGCGCCAGCAGCCAGATCACCACCACGAACTTCACCGCCCGCGACAGCTTGGACATGGTGTGCGAGATGAAGGGGTGGCAGATCGCCACGTACCTGCAATACGAACAAGAGAAAGAAGAAGAGGAAGGGTGGACGTGGAAGCATGGGATGGGAACGGAGAAAGACAAGAGAAGAAAAAGGAGAGCCAGAGGGGACGGAAGGAGAAGAGAGTGGAGGAGCGGGAGGAGAGCGGAGAAAGAGAAGATGAAGAAGAAGAAGAAGAAGAAGAAGAATCGAGAGAATAAGATGGGGCGACCGCTCGTCCCGGCGAGCGTCATCGCGCTCGTCAACCCGCTGACCCCCTGAATATTAATTTCGCGCGCAAATACGCGCGGAGAAAAATGTTTGCTTGAGCGGGACAATTTCTTGCTGAAATACGAGCGACACGGAAATTCCGCTCGAGCTTATCTCAAGGCTCACTCTAAATTACCAAGGTCCCCGCTTGACTTCGGCGCAGGATTCTCTGCTACCTCCAGCGCGAGTTTCCGAGTCGTCGTATTTCGCCGGAAAATTCATTCACTCAACGTCGCTCCATTCTCACCAAACACTTCTCCCCGCTGAAGCGAAGTAACGTGTTCCGACAGGATCGTCAGTTCAGCTCAGCTCAGCTCAGCTCAGCTCAGCTCAGCTCAGTTCAGTTCAGAAGAAAATCCAGCGCGTTATCGCGCGATATCGGGAGTTTCACCGGGCGAAAGTCGTTCGCTGCAAACCGCTAACGACCGCGGGCAACAGTTGATAGACGTGTGTTCTCCCTACTCCCTCCCCCCCGCCTCTTCTCCCAGTCTCATCCCTCTTGACCTTTCGCCTCGACCGAGAGCGCGGCTGACTCTCGCCCGGCGAGTATTCCCGTCGAGACGACCGATATTGCCCGATAATCACCTCTCGACGGTGAAGGCCGTGATGGTGAGGACGGTGGCGTTGGCGGAGGTCTCCGCGGCGAAGCTCTGTACGATGCAGAACGCCTCGCCGAATATGTAAGGGAAGTGCGACCATATGTAGTACATCTCCGGCGGCAGGCCGGACATGAGCAGCAGCAGGTCCGACACGGCCAAGCTGAAGAGGTAGTAATTGGTGGCGGTGTGCATGGACTTGTTGCGCGCGATCACCACGCAGGTGGAGATGTTGCCGATCACGCCGGTGAAGAAGATCACCACGTAGATCACCGTGATCGGCAGCACGACGTACAGCGAGTCCCGGCGCTCCGAGGCGCCGTCGTCGTGCAGGAAGGCTGCGAACGCGCTGGAGTTGTCCTGCTGAGAGTGCGCCATCGCGAGCTCGCGCTCCAGCTCGCCGTGCTTCGGCTCCCGCAGGAGCACCGTCGTCGCGTTCACGCTCGCGATCGCGCTCGCGATCATCCCACGTGAGGGTGTCCTCCTCGCGCACCTCCTTATCGCATCCAGGTGGACGACGGGGCAACGACTGTCGGCGAGGCTCGTCGCCGGCTTCGCAAGCTCGACCGCGACGATCGAGTCTTCATGGTCAAGGTCTCTCAGAGTCAAGGCTCTCAGCGGGAACTCGCGCGCGCGAAGGTCGACCGCGCGGTGTCCTTTCACCGGGATCCTCGTCGGCTGCGGCCGCCCGGAAGCCGCTCGATACTCATCGTCGTCGCCGCCGGCCGCGACGATTTTCTCCTGGAAATGTCGATGTGATCCTCCGACCAATGTCCCGAGGAAGCTCCGCTCTGTCGGATCTGAAGGGTTACGGTCTCCGCCGGCCGTCTCGGATCGCGACACGATCCGCCGCGTAAGCAGCGCGACACGACCGGGGCATCCCTCGTCCCTCCGGCCGGAAGTGTCAATGTTTCTTCAGAGGCGAAAGTTAGTTACACGAGACGACCCTACCGTTGTTTGCTCGCTCCTCAACGTCGAACCTGGAATCACACGGACCCTGCGGACTTTTTCTCCTGAGAAAGTGACCGGCGCGGCGTGTAATCCGCGAGAGGACGAGGGATAAAGAGAGGGTGAGAGAGCGGGGAAGGAGAGCCCACCGGCGGCGAGGACCTAATTAATTTAGACGAGCGCGAGAAATTATCGCGCACCAGGCCTCTTATCGGCGTTTCGCGACAATGACGCCGGTGGGCGGGAGTGTTGGTAGTCCTGCGGGACGAACGTTATGTGCGGTTTCCACTGGCTAATGATTAACACAACGGCATTCCGCGCGCGCGCGTTCTCCGGCGTCCGATTAATTTCGGTCAATTTACGTGGATTGAAGGGCCGCCTGTAAATCCTCCAATTAGAGCCGCGCCCGACCGATCGATCGCGCTTCGCCGCCACGCTTTGGCGGACTTTTTCGTCGATTCGCCGGAACTGTCGTCCTACAACAACGCGATCGGCGACGGCGACGGCGACGGCGACGGCGATGGCGACCGGATGTATCTTTATCGCCAGGAGTGGGACTGTTCTCCTTGGTTGGAGCTGCTTGCACTTTTTGCCTCCTCAGACGGAGACAAGAGTCAGTACAGCTTTCCTTTTCTCTTCGACGACTTAGGCTCGATCCACACTATCGGTTCGTTCACGCTCACGATCCGATCGTATTCCTAAAATGTTCACACTAATCGCTCATGAATCACTCATCGATCCGCTCTCCCAGACTATCAGTTCTATCCCAGACGATCAGTGTAGTTTCTGCCTAAACTAAATAAATTTCCCTTGAACATCGGCGTCAGCTCTTATTTGCTCTCTCTTGTAAGAAACATTAATATTTTATCACATTTTCCTATATTCCTATATTCATAATGAATTTCTAATTATAACACGATACACATATATACACGTACCTTTTTCAAATTACCTTTTTTCACAATTTTTCCTTATTCATATTTTCTTATTCTTATTATTATTATTTGATATTGCTTGAGAGTCACCAGTCTGCGAGAACTGCGAGTCTGCGAGTCTGCGAAAACTGACGGTGGATTGAATCGAAAGTCTGTTTACATTATCAGTACGACTCCGGGCAACTTCGATCGCGCTCCGGCAAAATATTCTTTCGAAGGATCGTTACTGGAGCGAGATCGGACCGAAACTTGAGCGTTACCGATCATATGAATACGTACGTTATAAACAGTGGAAAAATATTTGATCGGAGCGTGACCGGAGCGCGACCTGAGCGTGAGCGGATCGATAGTGTGGATCGAGCCTTAAGCTGCTTGTTCCACTCTCCCCTCCTCCCCCCGTCCTTTCTCTCTCTCTCTCTCTCTCTCTCTAAGGGCAAAAAGTACGACGTAAGTCAGCTCCAAACAGAGCGAATTTCTCGCCGACGATCTCCGTCTACCCGAATAAGACGAATTTCGCGTCGCGACGTCGCAACTACTTCGAGCGCGAGGCTCTCCTCATCGCTCGCGAGAACTTGACTTGCGGTTGATCAATTATGCACGTCCGTTACGCCAATTACAAACGATGAGTCCTCATGTAGCCGCCGACGAGGATGCATCTGTGACGTCGAGGTGCGCCCTGCACCGCGACGCGGAGGACTTCATTCATTACGGCCGATCGCGTTTCCGCCGCACGTGCGAGCGTAATAATGAACATCTCTAAAAGCGAATTCCTCGACGCGCGTCATTAAGCAGCGCGTTAGCGGTGACGTCGCTAACGAGAGAGCCGTCCCGAGAGAGACGTCGCGATAAGCGCGATATCTCTTTGTTGCTCAACAAACATCCGCTCCTTTCCCGGCCAGCGCCGGGAATTCGTCGTCCACAAGGATATCACCGGCCGTATTTGCGCTAATCCGCTGCGCTGCACGACCTTTGCTCCGCGAGTCCTCCCTCAGACGCCTCAAGGAGGCGTCATCCACTTCTCGGATATCCTTTGGTAAATGTCACACGGCGTCGCGGCACGCTGAGAATGTCGCACGTTTTTCCTTAGGACAGGCACGGCGGAGAGTGTCGTTGTGTAAAAATAGCGCCAATGTAACGACTCCTCGGAATAGAATGTCGGGATTCTCCGGTGAGAGAAAATCAGGCGAGATTTATTTTCCTGAAATTCCCCGCGCGGGAGTCCTTCTCTCCTTACATGTCCCATGAGATGCGCGTCACAAATCGCCCTTCCCGGCTGCGGGACGCGCGGAAAAATGATTCTCAGATCGACCTCGCTTTCGATAACAGCGCGATGTTTACTCCTAAATCTCTCAGTTTATTTTTAATAATGTTTTCGAAAAGGCAAACAATCGTTTCAAGAGTCGATTGCCGTCGACGGACTGGACGAGGCGTCGAGTCGTAAAAAGAAAAAAATATGTCGCACTCGCTCACGCATGCGCACGCATCTGGGAGATGAATAGGCGCGTTTATAAAAAGACTAAGCGTTTAATTAGTTCGTATCCGCGGTGTTAAGGATTATCGTAAGCTCGCGGTCTCAGCAGATTCGCCACACGTCAGCCCGGCCAAAGGCTCGTGCGCGACACTCCCGACTCAGCTGTTGTTCATGCGTCGACTCGGAGAACACACTCCTCTTTTGTCCAGGACTCGACACCAAGACCGACCATCGACAGCACAATCGATTCTTGAAACAATCTCTTTCCTCGAAAGCGGGGGTGCAATGATGATAATGGTGCTCATCGTGCATTACCAACTCAAAGAGACCTGTTTGTTACGCGGCATTAAAAAACGAAGTAAGGAAACGGAGAGAGAGAGAGAGAGAGAGAGAGAGAGAGAGAGAGAGAGAGAGAGACAGAGACAGAGACAGAGACAGAGACAGAGACAGAGACAGAGACAGAGAGAGAGAGAGAGAGAGAGAGGAAATTGAACGCGACGGTTTTCCCGCGGTCTCGGACGCTGACGTTGAGAAGCGCACGATCGCACATACGAACGTACATACGAAAAATCTCACTATTTAATGGAAAATTTCACGATCCGATTAAATCAAGCCAGATTTTTAACAACCGACGTTTTTCACCGCGATTTTTACCGACTCGTGGCCTCGGCCGAGCTACGTGCCGCGCTTCTGCAATTGAAATGCGTCGCCGTTTTGCAATTTGAAAGGGCCTATCAGCCCTCGCATGCATACACACACACACACACACACACACACACACACACACACACACACACACACGCACGCACACACGCACGAGCGCGAGCGCGAAGGCACGTCGCGTCGAATGTGCGGATCGCGGTCGGTGTCGTTTTTCGCGCGCTCGCTAGGAACAAACTGGACGACTCCAGCGGCCTCGAAAGCTGCGGTCTACGCCAACACCACCTTGCACCTCGCGGCGAAAGATGCTGAGCGTGTTCGGCCTCGCGGAAGTCGCAGCGCGGAAACGCGCGAGTCTCGGACTCGCCGCTTCTCGTCGCTTTTACGACCTCTCGGCGTCGGGCACCGCCGCGCCGTCGACGTCGACGACGCGGCGTTTTCGTAAAGCCCGGCGAGGTGGAAAGAAATGGCGCTATTTCAGTCATCGTCGTCGTCGTCGTCATCATTCCAATCGATGACACGGCCTAATTGTCTTCAATGGGCCGTTAAGGTCCCTCCTTCGTCCTCCACGTTGCTTACGTCCGGAGAGCATCGTCCGGGGACGTCGGCCCCGGCTTATTTGCTCTACATTCCCCGTCGTCCTTTCTTCTTTTCCTTCTTTTCTCTTACTAATTGCCCGCGCGATCCTCGTCCGTCTGTCGTCCCGTCGATAAATCCGTCTTCGATTCTTTTCGATTCGCTTCGACTCGCAGCCACGAGAGAAGCTGCAAAGCGGCCGAAAGAGTTCCGAACGGTTCTGCAGATCCTCCGGAAGGTCACAGGTAGGAATGCAACGATAAATCGATAATATCGAAATATTGAAAATTTATCGATATTCTTTTGTCTCCGATAAAATCGATATATCGATATGAATTTTACTGATGTTTCGTATTTTTCAGTTACAGCTCTGAGTGCCTATTACGGTTCTACGACCGAGATGAAAATTACAAAAGTAAGTGAATTAACTGGGATATATATTATGCAATTCGATGTCTAGTAAATTCGCTCATTTTTATCATTTTCACCTCAATCGTTGAACCGTAACAGATCTCCTGCTCCATGTATGCGGTGATCTCCGGCAAACGACTGCGGTTTATCATGTATTTTCTAATAAGAAGATGACAATAAATTATATGAAGATAACAATTTTTAAAAGATCCTTAAAAATTTTTCATGTATACCCTTTATGTACGCATACCCCTATATGTATATATTTTTTTATATAAATATCGATATTTTTCAAAATTATCGATATCTTATCGTTATCGATATTCTGAGAAATCGTTGCATCCTCGGTGCGCGTTTTGTATTTCGAACGGACGAGTGAACCTGAGTGAAGCTGAAAGAGAGAAAGCAAGCAAGACAAATAACGGGCTAACGACTAACGTAGGAGCTCGACGGAGCGTCGCCGGAATGAGCTCGTTGGCGCTCAACGAGCCACTGTTATGGCACATCGATCTCCCAGACGCAGAAGGCGTCGGACGAAATTCCATCGGCAAGCGCACAATTCAATCCGTCACCTGATCGCGCTAAAGTCGCCTCACCTCGCCTCGCCTCGCGTCGCGTTACCGGCGCTGAACTCATTTGCACGAACAATGGGAAACGGCGAGACGGGACGCGCGCGTGACATTCGGCCGGGTGATGATGAGCGTCGAGGTTCTTCAGTCAACGAACCAAGTCCCGAGAAGACGCGCCCTGGACTACCGTAATCGGCTTGCCGGACGGCCGGCTGGCCGATCGATCGACCGACAGCCGATTACGGTAATGTTTACCGCGGAAATTGGCGTGGGTGATTGATAGCGCGACGACCACATGGCAATCTCTCTCTCTCTCTCTCTCTCTCTGTCTCTCCTCATCGGCGTCCACGAGGATCGACCGCGACTTAAGATGCGACGTAGAAGCAAGAAATCATGGCGCCAAATTGGAAGGTCCTTACAAGGATCTCGCGAGACGTACTATCATCGGCTTCGAATGCTGGTGACTCGTTCGAGGAAAATGGAAGAAAAAAGCGCCTCAGGCCTGATGCTTAAGGCCTGTTACTTGGAACTCGTCTCAAGGGAGACGCTCGGACGGATGAATTCGGATGATGTGAATCCGGACGTGCGAGCGGAATCGCGAGTACGAAAATATAATGTGGGATATGTTCAACTGGTCCTCAGCTTACCGCGCGAGGGAAATCCCGGCAGGCGACCGTGAACCTTTCTCTCCAGCGTGGACTCGCGAGAAGCGAACATTTCCGCGTTTTCACTTTCGAGCTGGAACACTCTCATTTTCCACGAGCCGAAACTGGAGGAAGAGACTCGCGATCGACTTCCCAATGTTCTCGAGGAATTCGCGGGAGACGCGTGAGCTTCATTAACCGGCGATCATTTCCTGCACGTTTTCTGCACGGGAATCACGGACGTGACGTTTTGATAAAATTCCATCGAAACCGATCGCGTCGACCGGCCTTCTCGGATCGAGTCTTCGACGGTCCAGCAGCCGGCTTCTGCCTCGACAGCTTCTCCGCATTTCTCACGTTTTCCAACCTCAAGGCGCCTAAGGGCGCGGGAATTAACATTCCCGCGAGTTCTATATTCGAGTGACGAGGGAGCCGTCTATTTATACATAAGCCTGCAGCCGAAAACTACTAATGGGATTCCTGGCCGCTCGGCTTGGAAGAATAATAAATTCGCCGGAGCTTCGGCCCCGGCACCAAGCCAACGTCGCGTGGGCTTTGCTTTCTAATGCGGACAAACAAGCTCGAGAGGAGTCAATCGAATTATTATACCGTGTGTCTTAATATGCTCGCCG